TTAGACTTTGCTGGAATATTCAATCACATATTGAAAGGAAGTGCCAATAAACCACGTGTTTAATCACAATTTCTAATCCAAAAATTTATTTATATCAAATGGCAGGATTTGTGATAGTTTTAATTAGCCCCTTAGTTGACTTAGGGCTTCAAAGTCATAAAAGCAGAGGGGGGGGGAGGAACAGAAGAGCAATTGACAGATGTAAAAGTGGCAGACAGACACAAAGGCAGAGGAAAGGTGAGACGAGTACTGCGGAAGTGGTGGAATTTGACATACAGTGGGGTCACGGTAGTTTGAAGTCAGAAGTCAACTGCTGGTTCATGGACCACGTGGAGATAATTCTATCCCACGCCCATTAACCCAAACATTGGTTTATGTAGTTGATCAATTTTTCGCCTATTTTGACGAACTGCGAGCACTTGTATTTATAATTCAATTGAAATCAGCTGATTATCAAGAATATTAATCTCAATTAACTCAATAATTAACCAAGAGCTCAGCATACCACTTGATAATCTATTGGGAAAAGTGCCCTTTTATTTAAATACTTTTCGATAAGTAGATGCATTTAAATTGCTGACTTATTTCATAGGACTTGTACTGCTGTTCCATTCAAACGACATAGTACAGTGGATGCGAAGATAGGGCAGGTCTCGTGATATTGGGCACTTGCACGCGGTCACGGGGAGTCCATAGACCATTTTGTGCTAATTGTTCACCTCGCAGTGTTGTTTGTCACTTGTTCATAATGCCTATGAGAGTAATCCTGCCGAATGCCCTTCAATCGGACAGTATTAACTGTTGGGAGTTATTTTGAAAACAAATAATTTGCGTCGACAAATTTAAGGCCTACTACGAACTATCCACAAACAGTTGCTCCTGGTAAAAGTGGTGCCCAGAAAATGAATGCCAAATTTAGTGCTGCGGGTTCGGTCATTAAAGCCAAACGCAACCGTGTACACGTAGTTTGTTTGGGAGAAAATATTCGGCATGTTCACGAGACTCGCCAAAGAAGTCCACAGATATCAACCAAACGTCTACCCTCCCAACTAAACGTCAAAACGAACGCCACTCCTGAACATGTCTCGCTATTGTATCCCTTAGGGTTTTCTGATCCACCTTTCTTGTGTCCTGATCCCATTCCATTCTTTGTAATAAATCAATACTTAGACAATGCATGCTATAAAGTTTCCATCCACAGTTTAGAGCAACCCCATATTGTCCACATATTCCCAAGCCAGAATTTTCCATACTGTCCATGCTCTCGACACTATTAATGTTAACAATGACAACGCCTTTGGGGTAAATCTGCAACCAAAGTTCGGAAATCATGAGGTTACCTGTATTTCCACATTCTAGCATAATGCTTTGCGTTATTCCTTACCTATAACACATTGAAAAGTCGAGCTGCGTGTCTCAAAATGACTTCGTAATCACTCGCATTTCACATAGCACCTATAGCAATCGTCCTCTGACCGACAACTTCTAGTAGTTTGTGCAAGGTATGCAGGCCCCAGTCCCTTCTCATCTCAAACATGTTTGCAGAGTCAAGACGGAATATTTACCCATCTCTCAAATCTTTCTTCTCATGCAGTTGGTGCTCAAGTATGCGACAGATTCATTATTAAAGTTCTGCATCCAAGCTGAACCTCCTACTCACGGTGTACCTGCTTCACACCGTATTTGAGCCAGGTCTTTCCCAAAGGGGCTTATTCTACCTCCCCCCCCCCTCCCCCACCATTTCAACACTCATCATCTATCGGACCGTGTCCTGAACAACTTTTAATGCCCCAGTCAGCCGGTAGAATTCATGAGTTGGAAGTTTAATGGCTTGCGCGGTAGCGAATCGAAGGCCACTAGTACTGGGACTTTTAAACCTCTACTTGCTTTTGCATCAGTTTATTACATTTTGTACAGTTTTATTAGATTGTGCCCGGGCGACTTCTATATAATGAGGCAGAATGTTTAGACGGACATGGGGTCAATGACAAATTTATTTGTTTATTTTCGAATTAGAGATCGTCTGTAGAATTTTCCGAAGCTGTAGGCTTTTCTGGAAGCATTAATAGCCACCAATGCCAGAGGATTTTCCCAACTCTTTCAAATACTTCCTTTTGCAACTAATATATGCAAATTCACTTTATTACTGTGCCTTTTGCAGGAGGCAAGTGATTCTGGGGATTCCGCAGTTAACCACTACACCCACATGTACATTTAGGGCCTGTCAAAGTCTACAGTAATCTAACCAGGCTACTTAACCTAGTGAAGATTTATGACTGATTAGGCTTAACTTAGAACCCCGGATACTAATTATCATTTCATGGAGGCTAAAAGACGACACAAAATGATTGAAACGTTTACGCATAGGACATCAACGGGAAAGCAGTGCACATTCTCGCAGATAGTTATCTACATAAAGAGGGGAAGGGGTGAAAAAAGAGAACATGTCTAGTGGTGGAAGAAATACAACTTAGAGAACCAACGAACAGGGGATCCCTATTCATTGAGGCTTCGACCACGTCCTGGAAAACCTCGACTCGGCGTGTCATCTGAAGTATGTCGTGGTGGAGGAACACCAAATCCGGAGACGAAGTTACGTTCTGTAGGGAACATTCGGTACCTGTGAATGAGACATCAACTTATTATTGAGCAGACAGTGATAGTAAAAAGCTTCAAAACTGGTTGCCACTCCCCTTAAAGAGATACTTGTTTTAATCATCACAATGAATCCAAACTTATTATTTCCCTGCTATCACTGATTGAGATAATCAATGTAGATAGTCAGTCCAAACACCATGCGTATACCATATGTGTATTCAGCAATTAAATTCCTCAGTGGAAAAGAAAATGCGCAAAGAAATTCACTTATTTTATGGATTATGGAATCCCATTTTCATCATTTTTGCGACACACACACATATGGTTAAAACTAAATAGCAAATTAGAATAAGAGCTTTATCACCACACTGAAATACAAGTATGATTAATTAACTAGTGAGTTATTTTTGAAGTGAAATAATTAGCTCTGATTCGTTAAACTGTTCTAGTCAATAATTTCAGCATTCAAATAAAATCAAAACATAATGTGCAATTGGGAAGACACTAATTGAGAACCTGATAATGACCTCGAAAAGTGCAAAAAAGACAAGACAGTAAGGATGGACTTGCCTGCCCTAAAGCAGCTTATCCTTGTGTAATTGTGTATCTAGTAAAGTGGCAACCATGCATCGAACACTAACCCGCGTTGCCTACAATTCAGGCCATCAACTTCTGTCAGTCAATCAAATTTTAAAGCTGATCTAAAATGACATCCAGTAAAGACTTGAAGCACCCAAAAGTCCTGAACTAAATAAACGCGAAATAGATCGCACATCTACTAATCTGCATTTGTTTATGAAGCATTAGCATTCAATTCAGACATGAATTAAAATTCCTGTGTTCTAGACCATATATACGCCCATGCGTTGTGTAGGCCTATTATAATTTGATTAATCCTCTTATACACACGATTCTTTACTCCCATGATTTGGCATATTAAGATCAAACTCCATCCAATTCAGCTCAACCTTCGTAGAAACCCGTGACCTGTTACTTACAGTATTTCTCATGACACAGCAGACGTGTTTACTAACACAACATCAACGTTATTAAAGCAGTCAATAAAAAGCATGTAAACAAATAGTAATTGCTTGACAAAATTGGTATAATTGCCAACATCAAAGCATAGGCAAGCCTATTTTTAGCGGTGAATAAAATTGGCAAAAAAAGGCGAATGAATGGAACGAAGGTAGGGAAAAATCAGATCATTAAAATAACTTCGATTTATTAGGTTTTCCATGTTTTACCTAACACGTAAAATGCACCAAATTATGGTCTACCGTGTTTCTGGGAGAGGTTACCTGGATGTCTTAGTGACAGTACGTGTGGCCGCGGCGTTCAAAACTCCGACCGACACTTCGGAGAGGTAAAGAGAAATTACTGCTAATTTGCTAACTCAATTTGAATTTAGCACGAAGAACATTCGGGCTATTATAACAGCCAAAGCGTATTATAGAGTAAACAAGAAGGCTTGAACAATATATTTACTGAACAAGCTGAGAGGCACTTGTGAAAATAAACTAGGCAAATAGAAACCCAACAACAGTAAATAATTTCGTGAAGCCAATATAAATGAAAGTCTAGCACAGAATGCCAGAAATGAAAGATTAAGGCAGATTTACTAAAAGAGTAAAGCAGGAAAATCACACGGAAGAAGGTTAATTAGAACCCTTTGGGCGGAATAACACAATTTTAAAGTCAATTTAGGTTAACGAATTATGCTGACGGGTAAGATGCACAAACAGCGTTTAAACAAACTAAACTTCTAAAGGTTTTGGAAAGTAACGATCATACTGCAATACCAAAGATAGGGCTGATGTCACCATCCATTCTTTCAAACATAGTGCACGCTTTCTCCCGACAACAGATGAATTTGTAAGTGATCGGTGAAATGAATCAGTTTGGCTCTTGAGATACCAATCGCCTTCAAAGCTAAGATGAAAAAGCTTTCAGGCCATTTTGACCTTGAAGACAAAGACGGAAATAGAAATCTAGAGCCATCTTTGGCTGAAAAATCAAAATACCAAGTTTTACCTATCCTCACTTTCACCAAAAATTATATATCACTGAAAGCCCTAACGCAGAAAAGATAATTTTGCAATGATTTTGAATCAAATAAACGCAGTTGCCTAATGTGTGATGAGATAAGTTTGCAGGCATTTCAATATGGATTTGAAAATAACCGATAGCGTTAGGTGAATTAAAAAGTGCAGACTAGATGGCAAGCATGTAGAACAATGATAAATTTGTTGTCATCCCTTCAGTGATCACGGATTTGATACAGTCAGATAGCGAAAAGGGATAGATGTGGGTATCTATTGCTTCCCTAAGAGGATTGAGAACAAATTAATAAACAAAATTGGGATGAATAATGTAACTTGTGACAGCGTACTATTTAACACCATAGGAACAAAAGTGGAACTAAAAGTACGAATGAATTAATTGCTCTTAATCGTTCTGAGATTAAATGGATTTAACTGCTTACCAAAACAGAAAGAAAGCCATGAGGACCTCAAGATTTTCAACTCATGACGAGAATAGAATGAGAAAACTGGAAAAATGTTAAGACATTCTGTTAATAGAATCAGATAGTTCGAGGGAAAGTTAAAATAATTTTAGATAAAATAAAGCCATTTGAATAAATCCGTGCTCATAATATGAAAAAACATGACCTCAAAGTTAACCATTAGGTCAGAACAAGTCTTGTTTTAAATTAGCATAGTCGCATTGTGATTCTTTCAACGAGTATAAAAAACTAGCTGTGATTTTGGAATTAAAAGGTTTCGAAACATTGCTACCCCACAAAATTATTTGTCATACACTTAAATGTATTATTACAATGTCAATACAGGTAGAGTTCATAAATCGAAATAGATTCTATTAATACAAAGAATAATTCTTCAATGTTCAATGAGAAAGCACCGTCTAATATGTTAACTTAGTAAGAAAAAAATGAAGCCCATGCATTAATAGCTAAAACGAAGAAATAGACGCAAAATATACTACTGTTTAAATTTAAGTAGACGAGGTGGAACTTACAGGAAATTGGGAGTCTTGAGAAATTGGGAACCACCGTATTCCAGGGGATACTCATGAGCAAAGAAGTAGTAGACATGGCCAACAAAAATGCCCATCAATTCCATTGTAGCGCTGAAATCAGAAGTAAAATTGGCACAGGTGAAGGATTGACTGCTTAGACAGAACAAAAGGACGATTAAGTTATCTTGAAGGTTTAAAGCTACACTTACCCTCCACGTAGAATGAGATTAAAGACCACAAGAACCCACGGGAAATAGACAGCCTTGAAACTCGTCCCAAACCAGAAATTAACAATCACATCTTTGTTATGTTGACACCAAACATAGATTACACTGAGAACCATAGGCTCAAAAAGGAACTGAACATGAAAAACTAGAACTTAGTTAAAACGAATACATAGAAAGGAAAGCGTGTGGTTGAAGGCTTACATAGATATTGAGAAGAAACGCAGATATCTAAAATAAAAAAAGAAACATATTCAAGACTATACAAGCTGGAATAAATCTACGCTGAACAAATGAAGAAATAAATCAACGCATATTTACCGTTAGTACAATCCAATTGACAAGAAGCATGTAGACATAATCGGCAGGTTTATTACTAAACGTCCCTTAAAACACGTTTATATGTGTCATTCATCTTACCTGTTTCCAGTCGTGTTGAATACGAGTAGAGAAAGTATAAATTGATGAGAAAATGAAAACCGGTTTGAGGAGTGATAGGATAGAAAAAGAGGGCTGTGACTGGACGCCATAACTAAAAATTTGTTTTGTATAAAATAAATAAAACATACCTCAAGATCATAGTAAAATTTATTCCAAGATAAAATCAAATTAAGTGCATCGATAAGACCGAATCGGCCAATGAGAGAAAGAACGACTGTTGCAGTAAACCAATATCTGGTAAGGCGTGGAATACTGTAGTAAGCATCTGATAAATCATTCCCAGCCATGGTTTGAATTTAAAACAGATACAATGATTAGAGATGAAGAGGATCGAGCTCAATTCTCCCTTACGTCACTATTATCCACACTAATCGTATATTTGTAATTGGCAGCACCCGAGCATGCGCTTCAAGGATAATATTTCTTAAATATTGCATATAATGGCATAAAACAGTTTCTTTATCCTTTCTAAAAGCGGGGAGAATTTCTTTTATTTTTGATTTTATTAATTAAAATAATTTATTGACCAGTTGGCATTACTTTTTAAGGCGGGGGGGGGGGGGGGGGGCTCATTTCGCAGCAAGTCATTAAAAATCTGTTTTATTATGGTAGTCAAAATATATTTTGAAATAATAAATTTTAAATCTTATTTCAAATCTCTTAACTTTTTTACATGTTTAGACACTGTAATTTTGCAAACACAAAATAACCAGTTATTTATAACGACTACAAAGATATATTTTTATTAGAATTATTCTTCATAAATTGCTTAATAAAGATAAATGAAGCCGCCAATCACTTGAAATTTTGTTTACCTTCCACTTCTTATTGCTAACATTACATTAATGCATGTTCTCTTTGGTATTGGAGAAGTTCTTCCAATACATTTGTAAGTAAAAAGGGTTCTCTATCAAATATTAGCAGTCGGTGGTATCCTCACTGCATTCCTTAATTTTATTTCCTATTTTCTAAAACAACCTTGATAAGTAGTTCAGTATCTGGGCTATATGTATTTAAATGTACCATCCCTATAATGGAGAAAATACTGTTAATATGAAGACAACGAAAATTTACAAGTCATTAATCATATTACTAAAGCTAAAATTGAAAAATATTATAATTATGATAGTTTTGTTACGAACTTTTTATTGTAATAGCCAAAAATTAGACTTACTGTTTAGAATTTGTCAATATTATGGTCTTGTTATGGTGCTCACATTCCATTACCACACATGTTTCTTAGTTTTGTACCCTTTATTAGTACTCCCACTACGATTTTGTATACCGGTGGGGTGAAACATGCTAATTCTTCTTATGTTACCTCTCTAAGGTTAATGCACTGTAGCGTATCATGATCTAGCACAAGAACCATATGAACCCAATTAAAAAAATTATGCTAAATCATTTTTGATACATTTTGACAATTTACAATCACGTTGGTCGACTCAAATGACTTTTCATATCATAAATACGCCTTATTGGGGATACCAAAAGAGGTATTTATTCCACTTCCTAATCCAGTTACTGATAATTAATATATTGCTTGTTCATTTAATATTAGATTTTATGAATTTTTCGGGTCAAAATTTATTGGATTTTTCGTATTTTACCAATTACAGGAGGTAGTTCCGTTGGCTTATTCAAATTTATTTCGATATCTTTATTTAAAATCTTTCTAATTCATTAAATGTGGTGACAATGCCTATTTTTGAGGTTCATGGAAAAATATTTCCGTGGAAATCGTTTAGTTGACAAATCGAATACCAATTTAAAATGTCTAAGCACATTTAGAATATCTAATTCAGTTTGGAACCTCGGATTACGTTAATCATAAAAAAATTATTTTCCTTGGGAATCTCAAAAGTGGAGTTGAATCGAAATTGTTGTAATACCATTAGGACACATGATTTAATAACACATTTTTAATGATGAACCGTGGTGACTATTTTAACACTCCAAATAACAGCCTTTCCTGAAATTCTACAATATTAGCTTAATATTTTGCGTAAAAAACAAATATATAGAACGAATGCTAACTTTAGTGTTAAATTGGTGAAAAATATTGCACGAATGAAAATATGAATAAAGTGATGTCTTAAAAGTTTTTAATAACCAGAAAAGGCAGACTCCGTGGTTTCTTCAAGTATGCAATCAATGAATTCTGTAAATTATAAAGTTTAATTAGAGGGTGTTGAAGAAAATGGGTATTTAGCAGAAAAGAAGATAGGTACCCTCATATTTAACGATTCCATGTTGATAACCCAATTGCTTCAATACTCTGTCAGTTTCTTCTTCATTAAGGCGTTCTCCTAAAAAAAGTAAACATTTGTTTGTTATTACCGTGACGGCTTTATTATTGTTCTTCAACTAGAATGACTACTATAAAGGAAAAACACTAAGCAGTCAAATACGCTAAAACAGAACTTCTCACCTGGGATAAAATCATTGACGGAAAAGATAAATGTAGATTCTTTCCTTCATGTTTACTCATGACTCAAATTTATGTAGTTTGTTCATTTGAACTAGGAACAAGAAACACCCCATTCCTCCCAAGGTGCCTAAATTTGTCTTTTTTATCTCAATCCGGATGCTCGTTCCTGACACTTAGAAATTTCCCATCAATTCCCAATTCTCCTTTCCTCTCTTTCCCTTAGGATCGCTCAATACAACTGTGATCTAACGCAAACTTCAATCTTCTGATTTTGCGAAAACTGCTGAATCAAGCCTGTCTTAAAGGAGGTCGGTAGTTGTGTAAGAGGTCTTCCAACATCCTAATTACTAGAATCAGTGGTAGATATCTAAGCAATCGAGTTATTTCAGTCTTCGATATTAAGTTTATTTCGAGTTCGTTGACCAATTAACTTGATTAAGCTGTGAATCATGCCAACTAAGGTTGAATTTGCATAGCATGACTAAGTAGTTGGGACGAGCAAGAATATTTTATAAGTCAAGATGAGTTTTCATTCAAAAAAACACTAAATACCTTTAATAGACACTGCCAGAAAAAAGGAAATTTCAATTATCACTTACTTCAACACGTAAACGCATTTGCTACGTATGTTTTGACAATAATTCCAATCAAACAATTTTCATTCCAAGAAATTAATTTTCGGAAAAGTCGGTTTCTGAATTCTTTACCGTAAGTATCTCAGTGACGAGGTGTTATGCTGTATGGAAAATATCCCTGAAAGTACGTCCTAAGTAATGAAATTATTCACGTTTTTACCCTATTTAATCGATGTTTAACACAAATATAGAAGTTATTTTGAAACTTAACGCATATTTATACTAATCGTCTGAATTTTATTCTGGCAAAGTAAGAATAGGAATTTAAACCGACAACGATTTACTTACCAAATGTTCCCAAAATGTGCCTTATCTGAGCAACTGTTAGAATACCTTGTGATTCACGATCATAACTCCTGAAAACTTGCATAAATTGATCTTTGAGAGGTGGTAAACTTTCATATTTGATCGCCTGATATACTGATAGAAACTCCTCGAACGTATACTGCACTTCTCCTGAAATCAAGAATGTATTCCATTTCCGATTGGAATTAATTCTTTGTGGATTAATTAAAAGTAGCAATTTAAGGAAAAATAGAAATTCTAGCAGTTATTGGTCATCTAGGAAATAAATGTGTGATAATTAGAAAACGGTAATTTAGTGGAAAAATTAGTCCGGTCTATTTCAGTAACTTTCTAAATACTTTCCTTCTAAATATCCTCTGTTTGTCTATTATCTACAATATTACTGTAATTATAACGTTATTTGGCTGCCTATTTCCATTGTCATAAAATTGAAGGGATAAATAAGTTGACATATTTGGGATTATACAGTTTAAGTGGTGATCATCAAATTTTACACTTGTCATGCAATTCCACCCGGTTATGCTCGTGAATCTAGAAGACCTTGAAACGTGCAATCAAATTTCATTAAGAATAATCGATAAAATCGTATGACTCATACATATTAAGTGTTGAAATACTTAGCTGTCCAATCCACTTATGAATGCTTTTTGCTTTCTTTTCAATCTAATAAAAGCCTTAGCTTTAGAAACTACTAACAAAAAAATAACAAGAAGATAAACGGACAGTTGCTTATATTCCCAGATAAATAAATTTTTTAAACCGATAGTCTGTTTAATGATTATGCAGCAAGAAATGGAATAATTAGAAGTCCTTACCTGCAGCAGTTAAAGCTCCATTTCGAAGACAGCAAGCATTAGTTGGGTTAAGACCGGTACATCTAAGCAAATCAGGTACTCTACTAGCATCCACCATTCCATCACAACCATCCCAGAAATCAAAGACTTCAAATACTTCACGAACATCTTAATTTTGGAAAAAAAGGCGTTATTCACATTTGCAAACATACCATCTACTTCGGCTTTAGAAAGATTCGCCATAACTATGAAAGAGTATCTTCAGCCAAAGTGGCTGAGCTCTGGGCGATGTTTAAGCAAGTCAGTTTGGGGTATTTTGTGCTAGCTAACAACTTTTTAATTGGTCAACTGGAGTTAAACGACTTTGGCCGGGGGGGGGGGGGGGGGGGGGGGAGGGGAGGGGAGTTGACTTCGTTTTTTTGGTAGAAAGTTTTAGCGGTCAAAAATATGCAACACAAGCATATGCGCTATTTTTATTTCGAATAGGAAAGTATTTTTCCTGCTCTACTTGTTGCCATAGAAAATGGCGGTGAATGATGGTTTTGAAGACATGGTTGGTAAGCAAAGTTATTTTATTACGTGAGGTTCTAATTGAGTTCAAATGATTTATTTCGGAGTATTTCGTGTTTTTAATGAGAGAATATTAGTAAGTATTATAAAGTTAAAATTACAACTCCATTTACCATTAAATGATAATTCAAAGTATCCTTGCAATTGAAAGGATAGGAAAATTTATTATTAAATCAATAATAAATCATTGCTTTGCAAAAGGAATTTGGGTAATATCCGCCAACTTACCACCAATAGACGGAGAACTTGATTAGACTATAGCATGGAACCCGTTAAGTTGGCTTTTTATGTTGGTATTTTCAAATGGGATGCCAATTTGAAATAAAAAACCGGATCATATACTGATAAGGACACAAGAAGGTTTGCTGGATTGATTAGATCGACTTGAAAGAAACTAATATGGTTTTACTCAGCAATACTTATATCAAATGTCCGTATATTATTTAGGGCCATCAACCGGAACTGTTGAGTTACCAAATTGAAGGAACCAAGGAACTAGAACCAAAAAGTATAAAGCATGACAAGTGATTAGTCTTTAATGAATTCAAGGTTAGTCTGTGTTGCATAAACCTTATTAGTTAGGAGGGCACTGCACACACATATGCCCTTACTAAAATGCTCTAGCTATTTTATTTCCACTAACTAATAATCCTAATCTTGTCAAATTTCCAACTTTTCACCCGTAATTTAAAAATAATCATTTAATGCCTTGATAATAATTGCCTATTCGATTTTTGGTAATTTAGGGAATGTTCATGAGTTCAGGAGGTGCTGGAGGAGATGTATCCCAAGACCGCAAAGTTCAGGATCACCTATTCATAATGATCTCAGTGTCTCCTTCGAAGACGTGCAATATGGAACTACCAAGAAGATTCGCATCACTCGTCATAAACTCGATGGAAGTACAGAAGAGAAGGTTCTTACAATTGACGTTCAAAAGAGCTGGAAATCCGTCACTCGTAACACTTTTCTACGTGAGGGAGACGAACGTGCTAATACAATCCCCGCAGATATCATTTTCATTGTTTGATAAGAAAAAGTTTGTGTAATAACCACCTTCACTGTTTATTTCACTCGCCATTATTTATCTCTGAGACTTTGGCACCTCGACCTCAAAACTATTACTAAACACGCGGTGGTACTTGGGGGGCACAATTCCTCCTATGGTTACAAGATTATTATTGTTATTATTATTATTATTATTTCATATGGCAAGCGTTATGAATAATTATCATTGGCCATTTAGCTGACTTCGGGCTTCACAGAGGGAGGAACATCAAAGTGAGAAAAATTGGAGAGGGAGAGCAAAAGAGTGATTCACAGATTTAGAAGAGACAGACAGAGAGACACAAAGGTAGAGAAAAGGTGGGATGAGTACTGTGGAAGTCGTAGAACATGATATACAGTGGGGTGATGGTAATTTGAAGTCCGAAGTCAACCGCCGGTTTATAGACCTTTTTGCCTTATGAGTATACGTTGCCCAGGGTACACCCTATGGAGATTAGTCTATCGCACATCCCTGGCTACAAGATTACTTTGGTGGTTCAACATTTGCCCTCAAACGGTTTATTTAGATTAATGGACGCAAACCATTAAAGTGGCACAGTGGTGTCCACAACTATTCTAGATGCCCATTGGACCACATGACAAAGAAATGTACAAATAACCTTGTGATTCAGTATCCCGCACACAATCTTCCTCCTCTCATTTTGTCTCTCCTTCCCTTGAGTTCCCTCCAAATAGATCCTGATCGCAACTTAATTTGGCCATGCATGTTTAATAACTCTAACGAAAAACATTGTTTTGGATCTACCGAATATCAAATTAATTGTGGGCTAAATCATCGGACTTCAAAAGCCGATAAAGGAAAGTATGAGTAGTCTGGCAACAGACCAGTCAATGAGAGGTAGTGACCTTCATTATGTCCTCACCTGGCAATATTATAACGCGGAATCGATATTGGACTTGCGGTGAACATCAAGACATTGGTTCGCAACGCATTTTAATAATAAATATGTCAATGAATGAAACAGGTATTTTGTTAATCCATTGTCTTAGAACAATAAAATTAAGCCCCTCATCAATGGAGCTGTATTAAGGGATTGCATGGCTAGATTGCCCGTAAGTATTCATTGTGACTCAAACGACCGCATATTTTTGAACAAATGGAATTTCAATAATTAGCTTCATGCATAAACTACTTTCGCATAGGAAGTTGGTTAGCATTCTGCTAATAAACAGGGCGCACGAACGTTGGCAAGTTAGGGGAAGTAGCAAAATTAGTTTGGCAAATCCAGACAAGAAATTTCCTCGAATTAGTGTACACCAACCACGTAAATAGAAGTTGTGAAGCATTTCTACTTATTCGTTTGATAAAAAGCAGAGGTGAAATGTGCATACGTCAGCACGACTAAAGTGGTAGGAAGAAAGGGTGAGAGCGAGAACGGTCGATGGCAAGAAGGTGGAATGCAGATGGCGAGTGAAGATGGAAGGTAGTAAGATGTTACTGAAAGCAAGTGAGTAGTTGGGGCTGAGAGTGAGAAAAGTTGCGAGAGGAGCGCGTAAGTGCAAAGAGCTGGGGTTAGCGAGCGGCTGGGCGTAGCGGCGTGCGCCTGTAATCCAGCAACTTGGAGGCCGGGTGGTTGAAACTGCCGTCGCTGGGAGCTCCAACCTGCGTGCGCGCATGTGGATCGGGCGTCCGTGCTAAGCGCGGCGTCGATATGGGGATCCTGTCGGAAGGCAGTGGTCTCCAGGTTGCCTAAGGAGGGGTGTAATGGGTCAGGGGGGAAACTCAGCAGCCAAAAGCCCCCACGTGGTGCAGTAGCAGGACCGCGCCTGTGAATGGTGTGCGTAGTGTGGCCCAGAGGGCGCGTGGTGACTTCCACCTATTGTCGCTTACTTCTCCATTTCTATTTCCCAAGCACTTCTCATTCTCCCTCCTTTTCCTCTCCACCGATGCAACAACGTTCTTCATCTTTTCACCACCATCTGGTGGAATGGGCGTTGAAGTATCCTAATAATACAGTTTTGTGTGAGGTGTTCAGAAGATTAAAGTTGGGACTATTCTGGCAGGTTGCAAAACCCCGTCCCGATCAAGTTTACGCTCTTTGTACGGTATTTCTCCATTTGGTGGAAAAGATTCGAAGTCGATTGTGATCTCTAAGTGTTATTGAAAAAAATTGCTAAAGAGTAAAATAGCCATTAACTTGAAAGATCGTTCATGAAATTACATTCGCCTTGATTTTATCTCTCGTTGCTGATTATTTATTTTGCCTATTTGAATAATTGGAGGTGAGCTAGTGATGGTGGCTATTCATTTGGCATTTACCTGATCTTCCATATCCATTTAGAGACAAAGTGGTCATAGTTTCAATCCCTGTCATCTCGTGTGACAAGATATTCTTCGATTTTGTATTATCGGTTTACTGGTTTATTATTATTTGTTTTAATTACTCATGGCTTCCCTCCATATATCGAAGTTATGTTGACTGCCTCATTGAAATAAAAGCCTTTGCGAGTTTTTAAGTAATTAACATCTATTTTCGAGATTTAACGAGTC